TTTACACCAAAGAAACACAGAGGAACATTTTGTTGCAGATTTCCCACAACCTGTTTATGGAAACTGAAACAACAGCAAAAGTTCCGTAAACATTCTTTCAACACCAAGGTAACTCATTCTTGTGAATGTTTCGTTGTGTTGCTTCAACAGGAAACATGTGTTCACACCAGTGTAGTGTGTGTTTCTGTTTCTAGTTTACAATGTGGTACAAGGACGAATTGCATTTTTGTCTGACAGAAATTCCATGTACTTATAGGCTATTTTTTTTTCTCTCTGTAGAACTGAGCCACCAAATTTTTAATTTTTCTTTTAACTTTATCAACGGTAACGCCATTTCCAATTCCATTACATAATATATTCACCCATAGATCCTGTTTTTGGTAACGGTCTTTATACTTTTTATCTCGTGGAGTCCACAAACACTCGGCGTTTCGGTATAATTCAATTAAACATATTATATTTTCTGTTGTCCATTTAAAAGGCATGTTTGTTTTTATTATTATACCTACTACTACATAAATCAACTGATGATTTGGGCAACAATGCGACGGCTTCACGACACAAGTTTCGGATTTTGGAAACAAGCAGCAACCTGTCCACACTATAAATATACCATCGAGGAACATAAAATGTTTACCAATGTTTCTATATTTCCTTTGATCTTTGCCGCTAAATATGGAAACAAGCAACTTATAGAAACTTTTGTTGCTGGAATTCGAAACAATGAGGAACTTAAATAAACATTTGGCAACATTCATAAACAAGTTCCAGGAACAAGCAACATAAACAGAATGTTCCTAGGTGTTGCTTTCGGTTTGGACGTAGCTTTATAATATATTTTTGTACTTTTGTGCTTAGGCGTTAAAATGACTTTTTTACATTGTCAATCACGTAGCAAATATTATTACTTTTGTGACGTTTGGTTTGGTTTGGCTATTTTTAGAGAGATTTTTTGCTATTCTAAAAATTCCAACAAATATAACTACGTTTTAGTAGAATTTTATAAGTATTACTTACTGCAGTAAAATGTAATAGGAATTCAGATAACAAAGTAAAGATCGCAAAGAAAATCTAATTTAGATTCTGGTTATAAATTCCGCATGTGTCAGCATAAAATAGGTTTTTAGTCGCATGGTTTAAGCATATATAGTTAGTATGTAATAAAGAATACTGAAATGGAGCATTTTAATATCAGAATATAATAAAATTTTCTATATTTTTTATACTTATGAAGTTTTAATTTACTTTAAAATAAAACAGACATAATTTATGTCTATTTAATTTCTTATTTTTACATAATAATAATAGTATTATGAATTAATTATTTTTTAATAGAGAAAGGGCAGAATGAACATCTACTTTCAATATACGCCAACGAAATCCTACTGAATGAAGAAAAAAAAACAGTGTTTTTACATTAAATATTTATTCTTTATCAAACATTACACAAATCAACACATTACATACATTTGTTAAGTCTTACTTGAAATCGTAAAAATATATTTTATACATATATATTTTTTAATATTAAAATATCTGAGAACAACACGTTTGATTTTAACGTATACCTGTACAACTTCCAAAATACTTTGTTTTCTTTACTAAATTCACTAATTATCGAAATATAAGAACTTCTTTAATGATAAGCATTTATGTTTGAGGTCAATTTTCTAGTAATTGACTAACAATAATTGTAAATTGTACAGTTAAACAACTATTATATTATTTATATATCACAAATAATTTATATATATTCACAATTTACAATAACATTCTTATACATAACATTAAAATTAAGTAGTTGTATTAATATTTCTATATACGGTAATCACAAAACATTTTCCGATGCACGTCATCAATTACATCGAAATTAAAAAGCCTATAAAAAATGTTTAAATTTGTTGCATAATTTAAGATACAGAACAGCTATTCATTTTACTTTATAGAGCAAATGATTGTAACAGATATTTTATTTAGATTAAAGCTGCAAAAATTAGTTTAAAGCAATTATTATCGCCATGTTGGCCACATTGCGCCGCGATCAGCATTGTTGTTGTTTATTATTTAATTTACTAATAACTATTTACACAACAACACGGTATTAGCGTGTTGTTGAATTTGTGGGTGTAATTCTCATTTTTTGCCGATTTTCATAGATTTTTTTTTAAAAATTGAACTTTTAAAGCACAAACGGTTGTTTTAAGACCTAAATTTTGGAGTTTTTTTACTGCATTTCTTGAAATTATGTGTTGAAAATATGGCGAAGCATTTAAACAGTCGAAGCAAAGAGCTTGTAGCTTTCCTGATGAACTATTTTGAACGAGAATGTGATAATAAAGGTCATTTATTACCCTTGACTGCAGTCAGAGAAATATGTTTGATTGGTAAGCACATTATACCACTTTCAAAGTTATTTCTACTTATTTCGATTTGTAGCGGGTGCTTTAAAATTAAATATTTTTACTGTGAGTGTTGGTGACTACTGTTAATAAATAAATTAATTATTACTAAAATATTAATTATCAAATTAAAAATAAAACGTAAACATCTTAAAAAATGATATAATAAATATATTCTTTCCCAATTTTACGTTAAGATTCATCTCATAAATCCATTACAATCTGGCAGCGCTGTCGCCGTCGCTTGTCACTCAAAGTTGATCACGTGCATCGGAAATTGTTTTGCGATTACTTTAAAAAGAGTATCATTATTTTAGGAGCGTATGATAAAAAAACAGCGTCAAATTGGCTTGGAAATGACGACACTTGCTAGATTTATCTTCAAAGTTAAAACTAACGCTGTTTTGTCCAGATGGTATTTTATTTATTATGATTATGCCAACTTTTCTTTATTTAATACATTATTTACAAATTAAATATGAAAATACAATAATAATTTTACAATTTTATTTACATTATCTAATGTCATATGCCGTTATGAAATATATTATATTATGAAATATATCGATAAACGGTAAACAAAACAAGAATGATAAATGATGGGCACGTAATTCGTTACAGAGGACAAATTGAAATTAAAGCTGATCTTTGACAGATTGGGATGGTTTGTTTTGGAACCAATAGTATCTAGTTCCAGTTAAGGGTATTTGTTACCTGTTGAAACTTTTTTAAATTTTGAATTTACAGTTCCAATATACAATATGTCCCCGGATTGTCTTTACAAGAAGATAAAGTTTTTTATTATTGTCATTTTGCGGAAAATGTATTCTTCATAAAAAAAATTGCTTGCTCTAAAATGGTTAATCCCGTTTATACTTTTCCAAATATCCACACCGTTTTAGAGAAAAAAAAACATGAAAATTTGGTTATTTTTTTTCGGTTTTTGTTACTTTTTTATGGAAATATAATTTCTGTTTCATTTCTGATAGATGGTTTATTATTAATTTTGAATAACATTATATTTTTCGCTGTTGTTAAAGTAGACCAAACCAAAACTCGCTCGGTTTACATTCAATACTAGAATTTAAAGGACTAATAAAAATATAAGATCTTCTTTCAATGCGCAGTAGGGAACGCAACGTTTACTGGCAGCCAGACGGTGCGCATGCTGTTCCAGAGAGCATAGTAAACAATAAATTAAAGAGCCACCTTTCTTAAAATACTTGTTTTTCCGACGTTGCTAGCTTTCGTACTAGTAGCATTGAACTAAATAAATTAATTTTCTGCCTCCTTAACATTTTAAAACAGCAAAAAATATGAAGTTAATTAAAATTCTACCAATAACAATCTATCAAAGCATAGCAACTTAATTATATTACCATAGAAACGCGTTTTGATTTTTATTTTAGGACGCGTTTTGATTTTAAGAAAAATTCAACTATAGTTTCATGTTTTCTAAATTGTCTCTAAAATGGTATGGAAATTTGGAAAAGTATAAACGGCATTAAACCATATTATTATTTTTCTCTAAATATCTATAATAAAAATCTTTTTCTTATTGACATACTGCATATTGTTTAGATTCAATTCAAAATTATTAAAAGGTATTTACTTTATTTTTATTTTTTAAAAACACTGTCACAGTGCATCAATTATATTTCTTCCCTTCGACGACGTTGTTGTTATTGGCTCGCATGGCATGTTTAAAAATGCCAGAGGCAAATGACTAGAAAACGAATTTTGATGAACATTTTTGAAAGTTTATAAATATATTAAAATTCTTAACAGTAGAAATGATGGACGTGATTTGGGAGCTTTGTATCATTCATGTGAGATGTCAAGATTTTGATCATGTCTTAGTTGTTGAGCTCTCAAAGCAAACCTCAATTCCCAAATTTTGAAGAAAGAAATATTATAATAATTAATTATTCTTTAAATTAAATAATACTTAAATGCAAATAAATTAAATACGCATATAACGAAATGCAATGACAAATATCCGTTAATAGTATTAATATTTTTAATTCAAAAAAATAAAGTATTTTTTTATTTACAGTATCTTAATTATTCTCTCAAAACTTGAAAAATTTCTAATATTAGAAAACTTATATAAAAAATAAAGAACAAAAAGTATCAAAGTTAAAAATCTAAAATAGCTAACTTATTGTCTTTTATAGTTTTTCTTGCATTTCTTTGAAGAAATTATAGGCAAATATTAGATATTTTTTTAATTTTCAAGGAAAAGCCAAAGAAATTGACGTCAGTGAATGGGCCTACTTTGCTAAAATTCGTTAATCGATAATTTGTTTTAGCATCAATACCAATCACTAAACCTAAAATCCTCTAACACAGTATTGCCAATATTTCAATCATTATTGGTTGTTCCGTATTCTATTATTATTTACTAAAGAAAAATAATTATTATTTTTTGTAGCGATTGTTCCTTACACCCACTATTTTTAAAAACAATCCGTTTTTGATTATAGGTTAACAAAAATAATTTTAATATATTTTTAATTACTTACAGTAATATAAATAAAAAACTGGACCACCCAATATTATTATTTAGTAAAAAATTAATATTTTTTTAATTTACTGTCTAATAATTTTATTACAAATAAGTTGTTTGTTGAAGTTCTTTTTTTAAAGATGTAGTTCTTGTTGCTTTTGTACTTCCTCTTTTGTTATTAATATTTTTATCGCTATCAGCATTCAAAAGTGCGTGATGTGCGTCACCATTCCGATAGACCGGAGGACTGATTTGTAATTTTACTGTACCGCCACCACCACCTGTAAAAGAATGAATTTTCTAAGATAATAATAAAGGTTGATTAAATGACGTTCAAGGAATAGTCTGGTCCAGAAAATAAAGATGCGAGCATTGATTAATAATGATACTAACTATTGTTTGTAGACTGAGGCTAATATTTAGACTTATAAAAGCAATTGATCGTTCATAACATTTTGATCAAGAGTTTGTTAAAACAGTTTTTCAAGTAATTTATTATTTAGTTGGAGACACATGAAAACAGCTTTATATCGGTATTTTTATTAACGGTGCAGAGAAGAATATTAGTGCTGATTATCACCTTATCACCAGTAGTACTGATCAGTAATGATTGTATTCAATATTTTTTATTAATTTAATTCTTCAGTCTGAAGAAAAGATGGCGATTTCTTCAGACTGAAGAATTGCTTTTATAAGTTTTATATTTTTGCCACAATAATATTTAGATTTATATTCTTCTGATACGTGTTATAACATGTATTAGATACAATAAAAAGTCACATAATTTGAATCATTATTCGAGATACCTATACCATATGCTAAATTTTTTATCTACTTGTATGTTTTCATCTACATATATTCCTTATTGGTGGAAAAGAGAAGTAAAATGTTCAAAATCAGTGTTACTTTATTCCCGTGTATTAGTAAAATGTAATTGTCTTTGTTTACAGACTATATAACTTTAATTGGGATTATATTTTTAATCAATTGAAAGTAGTTTGAAAAATTTCCTTTTTTTTGATCATATTTCTTCTTTGCTTTTCTTATTTTTGTATGTAACTATCTAATGTACCTGACATGTATTTATTATCAATTAAAAATGACTATATAGTACATATACCTACCGAAAACCGCGATCTCGAAAGTAACGTAACGACTGTAACGGCGACGCTAACAGCGACCGACCAAAGCGCGACAGACGAAAACTCGACCCTACGAGCGCTGCTCCACTGGTACTGGACGACTCTAGGAGCGCGACTGGCCGGCGCGATGGCTGGAGCAAAACACGTCACGGTAGAGATCGGGCGACGCTACGTACTTACCAGTTCCAGTTGTCCGCGACCCTACGAGCGCGACGGCTGGAGCGAAACACGACGCTATGCGGTTACTGCGGTTTAAGCTAACTCCAAGAGCGATCATAAATAATTTATTTGCAAATTATAAATAACTTATAGTTTCGTCGTTATTATGATCGTCGTTCTTCAGTAACAGGTACCTGATTTGTTGTGGAGCGCGACACGACGTTACAAAAAAATACAGCTCCAAAATCGCGTTACTCAAATATGCATATAATTTTTTACTTGGCTCGATCAGTTAAATTGATGATTGTTTTATACATATGGTTACCAATGTACGACTCACTGCAGTTACAAGGTACCTGATAGATGAACACTTTCTCTTTGAGTGCATCTCTCTCTAGAGACACTTCTTAGAGTAGTTGCAGACATACAGGGTGACAATTTGAAAACGAACAGTATTTAATATTGCCTCTACCGATGATAGTATGAAAATTTGGCCAAACACGTCAATTTACATATCAAGGGGGACAATTTTTGAGGCATTTGTTGTCGTGTTACTTGCAACCCCTTGACCCCCAGGGCACCTACCCCTAAAATTTTAAGTAGCAACCACTATTTCTTTTACCATTTTTGTGTTTCCTATAGAATTCTACATAAACTGCATTATTTTTTGAGAATTTTATAAGGAACACAGAAATGGTAAAAGAAATAGGGGTTGCCATTCAAAATTTTAGTGGTAGGTGCCCTGGGGGTCAAAGGGTTGAAAGTAACACGACAACAAATGCCTCAAAAATTGTCCCCCTTGATATGTAAATTGACGTATTTCGCCAAATTTTCATACTATCATCGGTAGAGATAATATGAAATACTGTTCGTTTTCAAATAGTCACCCTGTATAAACAATTTTAATTTTATACTGAGTCTATTTGCCTGATTTCTTCTGATGTTTAATATCTCCTTTAATATACAGGGTATCTCATACATAAGTGCAAATATTTTAACTGGTACATTTCGACCCCAGAAACAAGCCTATGATGTTATTTTGCAAAAAAAAATGTTAAAAATTTTAAATTTTTCTTGACATTTTCCGGGAAATTCTAAAAAACTTTTTAGTGTCATTTGTTTATTCACCTGAGATTTCTATACGGTGTATCTAAACCTTGCAGTGTTGCCACCTCCTACGTTATCCACATTCTGTAGTAGAGGTGCATAGTCTTCCACCGATTAGCTCAATGATACTGAAAAAATCAAATGTTTTTTCTCCTTTCTTTGACATCTTGTCGAATTACTTGTGAAAACCAAGTGAAACGTGATAACTTGCAAAGTCCATTTTTGATCTTAAGTTAATAATTAACAAATATTATTGTTATCTCTTTATCTTGAGGGATGTGTATATATTTTTTTGTACCGTCTCTTTTCTCATTTCTAAAATTAGGAATAATGGAGTTAGCAGTTTATCATATTTCACCGACGATATGTTTCTTTTGACCGGATATTTGCACCCCAATATTTGCACTTATTTATGGGACACCCTGTATATAGAATCATCCATTTAACACGTGCCTGTAATTTTTTTTTAATATTATTTTAGATCCTAACATTGTTTGTTTATTACTAATTTAATTACTTATCCTATAACATTTGATCGATGACAATATTTTTTTATTATAGATTTTTAAATTTTTAAAATGGATCTGTGGTAATTTTTATGTAAATGTTTCAACACTGAGAGCTTTGCCCTACAATGTTAGTTTTCCATTAGGTTACTCTCTTGTAACAAGCTGCTTTTGCTATTACAAATTTCCATAGAACATGCACCAAGCTACACGTGGCCATCCCTAATTATCCATTCCACTAGATTGGGAACGTAGATAAATAAACATTGTCTCTTACTTTTTGCTTTAATTTGAAGAATCATTGTATTTTATATAATAAAAAAAATTTGTTCGTTTATATTATGCTATTACAAGAGCGATCTGAGAAGTTATATGACGACTTAAAAAAAATATCTTCATTTTTCTGTTCAATTTATGTCTATTTTTTATATAAATTACTACAGGATGTTTTAAAAAAACATGTGCCATCTTTCTAAATGGGGGTAGATTCCTCATGTAAAAATAAGATTTATTTTTTTATATCAAAAGTTCTGAACATAGGTCCGATTCTGCTTTGTTTCGTAGCTATAGGGATTAAAGTCTTAATTTTTTTCAATTTATTATAAAGTGCTGTTAGCAATTCAAATTAAATTTTGGGAGTAAAAGGAACTATAAGTGCGACATATTATAATGCTATAGAAGTGTAGCGTTTTTTTATAACAACTACCACTGCGAACGGCAGCTTTTCATCGGAGAGCAGTCGTGGATAAGGTATTTCACTGGAAAGAAAACTAATTAATAACAATAAACAAAAGAAATAGATATTGGGCGCCAGGCATGTACAGAGAAAGAAAACACAGTTGTATATTACTTAAAACTAATGGCTATATTTATTCATGATGAATTCTGATGGTAAATAGCATTGTACAATTTTAATAATTATTTTAGTGGTTATATGTCGAGTAAAGCTATGTATGTAAATATTATTAAATATGTTCTTAACAATCTAACCACTAAATATAGTCTGAACGATCTTACTTAAAATGTACGTTATTGTTTAAGACTGAAAATGTTTTAGATGTTAAATGTAAAACTAGAACTTAAATCTACACTTAGCTGTTCTTTATGTAACCTTGCTTCAAACAGTAACAACGTGAGGTGGGCTTGCATCTCTGTACTGTCTGTCGGTGATCCTGTTGGCCAAAACAACAAAAGGGGCCAGAATGAGGACACCATGAATCACTACAGCCGTAGCTACTGACTAGGCTTAGAAATGGGAGCGAAGCAGCATGGGGCTTACGCTGTATCCATACTGTGACAATATGGGGATACTACCCGTACTATGGAACACTACTAGGACCTTGGATAATGTCCGTAACTTGGACCATAACCTTGGACACAGTCCGTCCATAAAATAACGGTATAGGGGAACACTACCCGTACCTTGGATACTACTAGGACCTTGGATAATGCCCATACCTTGTAAATATTCCGTACCTTGGACCCTAAAAATACGAAACTCTTGTTTAAAATCAAACAAGGTCTAATAAACAAAATGAACCTACCTCGAATTAGTTCCGAGGGCTCACTAAATAATAAAGAACATGTTCTTTCTTCCATGTGATATTCTGGAGGACAAAAGAAAAGGGACGCCAACGTGCCAGCAAAATACAAATACAAGTTAGGTTGGGACATCCAAAACTCTACCCTAAAAATATTCAATAATAATAACGAATCTAATAAAGATAATATCTCATCTTTATTTGTTGCTTCGAAATGGCAGCTGATTCAGATTTTGCAGCAAGATTTAAATTGCCATTTCTAAAAGCAGGATTTGCAACCGTGGCCAAAAACAAAGTGAGGTTAAAACGCAGAGAGACGCCTTGACATATGACAAGGATCTTGACAGCGCGCGCCTCCACAGAACAGTGAAACGATAGCACGGTTGGCGACTAGGGAACGTAAAAATTACGCCAAGCGTGCCAAATAACTATCCGGCCTGAACGAGAGGGAATCCGGTGATGATAGGCCAGACATCGTATATCATATATAAAAAACACATGTAACGAACTAAAAACGTTACAGAAGTATGGAGAGATTCACCAGCGACGTACATAATATGTATTATCACTGGAATCAGTGGCGGCGTAATCATAAGGTCAAATAAATAGTTAATGCCCCCCCAAAAAAATCAGAAGAAAATTAGGAAATACATATTTAAGTTATACTTTTTGTAAACTTTTTTTCATCCTAAGATATTCTAAACTATTCCCAAAATCCATCAATTTGTCCAATTTTCGCTTCAAAACGTTTTATTTTACCCATTTTCTCTACTGCTGGTCAAAATTTCATTTTGTCCTTCATTCCCCCTATGTTTTGCACGTATCA